TCACCCCCTCGATCCCCTCAGCAGGGAACCCGCAGTGGTGCTCCAGTGCTATGGCCCTTCCCCTGCAAGGTTGGAGCACCAGTGCTGGCATCCCGCTGCGAGAGTGGTGGAGGGGGGGAGCGAGACTTGAGGGCAGGATCTGGCTTTCAGGGGAAGGAGGCAGCTCCATGCACTTTTGCTCCCTCTCCCCTGGCTGGGGGAACAGCAGCGCAGGAACCCACTTGCCTGCAGGCTTTACCTGCTGCTCCCATTGTTCGGAATCACAATGGGGGAGTGTGGTGTATGGCCTGGAAGTAGTAGGAGTCAAGGAGCCAGGTAAGCACCCGCTATGCCCTTCTCGCCCAGACCTGCACTCTCACTCTTCACACACCTCCCGCCCGGCTGATGCTCCACACCCCCATCTGCCTCAGATACCTCCTCCCAACAAGATCCTGCACCCACACCCCACTCCTGCACTCTTCCAGACCCCTCCCCCCATCCCCAGCCTGCTCCTGCGCTCAACCTCCCGGCCAGACCCTGCACTCACACCCCATCCTGCACCCAATTTTGTCAACATGGGTGGTTGGCTGGTGGTCTGCAGAAAGTTCTGGGTTGATCAGGATAGGGCCCAGGCCAAAAAGTTTGCAAATCACTGCCTTAGAGGGAACGAGGACATCTATATACCTACCTTTACAATTTATGTTTTATTGTTACAGTTCGTGGATGTGAGCTAGGAGCCCTTACTTCCCTCCTACTCTGCCCTTGTGCTGCTTCAAAATGGCATCCCTTTCAGTGGAAATTTGTACCCTCACTCCTCTGTCCCCTCTCAGGACAACACACAGGATTGGGGATCAGAATTCTAGTGCTGAATCGGTTAAAATTGAACCAGCAGAGGCATTAAGACTTGATGTAGACCTACTGCAATCACAATTATATTGAAAGCAGTACTGCAATGTTAGCAGCAATTATTTGTGAATACATTTTTATGGAAGCATTCGAGGCACATGAGCCTGTACCGGGAGTATCAAAATTCTCCACTATATTCAGACTACGTCTGACTTTTGGACAAATCAGTGAATACTGCACCTGAGCTTCAACATCTGCAGAACCAAGACGGTGTCACGTACCCACCATGCTGTTATCAACTAAAAACTAATGCGGCAGCTCTATCTACATTCCAGCAGTCCACAGACCAAGCGTCCTATTCTCCTGGACTATTTAAGAGATGTACTACTAAAACAAACATGGAGTCTACCTGCTAGATCTTTTATATGTGAACTTTGTATACCTATGGTGCAGAATGAATATGTATTTTCATCAAGAAAAGCTTACTTATGTCATATTTCAACTGTTCCAGAAGTGAGCACAATTAATAGATTTCAACACCAGAAGGGACCATTCTGATCATCTACTTTGACCTCCTGTATAACAGACAATAAACCTTTTCAAAAATAATAGCTAGACCGTTTCTTTTAGAAAATCATCCCATCTTGATTTAAAAATTGTCACTGTTGGAGAATCTACCACAACCCTTAGTAAGTTGCACCAATGATTAATTACTCTCACCATTAAGAATTTACAACTTATTTCCAGTCTGAATTTATTTAGGTTCAGTTTCCAGACACTACTCAGTGTCGTACCTATTGTTAGACCAGTGGTTCTCGAAGTGTGGTCCACAGACCACTAGTGGTCCACAATCACCTTGCAGATAGACTGCAGGCTCGGGGTTTGCTGCCTCCTCCTTCCCACACCGCAGCAGAAAGCCAGCACTGGCATTCCAGCCCTGCCCCTTTCCCTCCCACAAGGTTGGAGTGCCAGCAGTGGCTTCCTGCTGCAGGGGGGAGGAGCTCCAAGCTTCACAGGCCTGATCTGGCTTGTGGGAGTAGGAAGTGGATCTGCATGCTGCTTCTCCCCCTCTGTCCAGCTGGGGAAATGGCAGCAGAGGAAACCACTTGCCTAGGGGCTTTCCCTGCCGCCCCCATTGACTGGAATTACTGCCACTGGGAGAGGCTAGGGATGTGGAGCCAGGTAAGTGTCCCTGTCATTCTCATGTCCAGATTCCAGTACCCACATCACCCTCACACACGCACCCTTCCACTAAGCCCCCACACTCGCACCCTGCTCCTGCACCTTCCCTCCTGCCCAGACCTCCCACCCCCACCCAGACTCCACCTCCCACCAGACCCCACAGCCTCAGCCCGCTCTGCACCCTATTTTCCACCAGACCCCCACCCGCAGCCTACTCCTGCACCCAACCTCCTTCCTAGATCTCCCATCCTCAGCCCACTGGTTGGCTAGTGGTCTACAAAAAGGTTTGCAGTGAATAAGGCAGGTCACAGGCCAAAAAGAGAACCCCTGTGTTAGACTGATGTAGGTACATATAATCAAGCCGAACAGATTGATCTCTGAGTCTATCACTAAAAGTTATTTTTTTTATGATCCTCATGGCTCTTCTCTGACCCCTCTCCAAAAATCCAACATCTTTCTTGAATTGCGAATACCAAAATTGAACACAGTATTCCAACAGTGATCGTACCACTGCCTAATAAGGTAAAAAACAAAAACCCTACTCCTAGTTGAGGTTCCCAATTTTTGCATTAGTCTTTTATTCACAGCATCACATTGGGAGCAATGAAAAACAAAAGTATCAATGGAATACCCTAAAATAAAGAAAATGTTATTTTTTGAGTTCACTAATGTCTTCAAATGCAAATCAAATAATGGAAGCAAAAATACAGTAAATAATTCTCCTATGCAGTCATATAATTGTTTCTATAAAAATATTAAGAGAAGAAAGGAAATCCATCTGCACCTTGAATTTATTCAAGAATTCACATGGGTGTTTACGTATGATTATACAGAGTAACGTAATATATACAGTGTTACTTTTTCATCCAGTGAGACTGCTGTATTAGTTTTCCAGAGTAATTCAAAATAACTTTTCTCCAGATTATTAAATTGTGAAATTATCGCAATTTTTATAGTGAAAGATGAGTTAACACAAGGTTAGTTACATGATTTTTAATTACTCCTTTCCAAAAATTAATTTAGTTGCATGTCTTATGGGGAAAAGGTTTGCCTACATGTTTCAATAATCCAGGGATTTACATACTATTTTCACATAGCATTGACCATACTTTAATAGAGCTAATCTATTTTTAGGTTTTTTTAATGCCATGTAGCAGCTGGAAACAAGGAGAGCCAGTACCATAGAACAAGCCAGCATTTCACTAACCAGAGTCCAAGATTCATTACAGTAATATAAGTCACTCTTGTTAGTACAAGGTTCAATACTGACTGTGACAGTGTAACAAGAAACCCCTTTGTTCATACTTGTTTGTTTAGTAGTTAATAAAATTGCACATATCCCTGAATGTTTGCAGAACTAGGGCTTCACTTAATCTGGTGGAAAAAAAACGTCTAAACTCTGCTTCGGGTAAACTGCAAATCAAGAATGACACACATACATATAGAATAACAGAAAGAGATTAAAAGAAATACCCAAAAGCTATATGGTAAACAAAGAGGAGGGATTTCTCCCAGAAATGAGAGCAAAGAAGTGTCCTGAAAGAGGAAGAGGGGGACACTAGAACAACAGAAAGAGAAAAGAGAAAAGGTGGAACAATTGAAGCTAAAGATGGAGAGAAAGAGATGTCACAGCAATGACACTGAGATGTAGGGAGGTACAAATTAGAGATGTTAGAGTACAACCAATTTATTTTTTAACCAATAAGCTAATTTTTATCGGTTAATGGTGTTGGTTAAACTCAGTTGGCTCCCAGGGAGGCAGCCTTGCTACAGCAACCCACCTCCCCAGGAGCAGAGCTAGCAGTCCCTGTGGGTCAGGCTCTTGGGGAGCAGAGCCGGCAGGGTTTGGCTGACCAGCCCCGGGGGAGGAGGCTTTCCTGCAGTTTTATATTGCAGAGCATTAAGTTTTACACTGCAGAGCCCACAGCATGTAACCACTGAAAATCTCAGCAGTTACTAGGGATGTAAGCGACTAGTCAAATAGCTGAATCCACAACTATTCGCGTCCCGTTCTCCCCACCAGCCCCCACAGCCTCTGTAGCAGAGGCAGCAAGAGAGAGGAGGGAAGGAAGCAGGAGCCAGTGCTGGGGAAGAGAGGTGGGGAGGAGAGTCGTCAGCTTAAAAACCGGTCCATCCCCCCCAGCACCTCTCTCAGAAGCAGCAGTTCAGGGTGGAGGAGTGGAGGCAGGGGAAGCTGCTCTGCATTCCGCAGAGCAGCCTCTGTTCACCGCAGCAGTCCCTGTCTGGGCAGGGGTCCCAGCTCCCCACTGGGACCCCACATGGACAAGGGTTGCTGGACCTGGCATGAGACAGGATTGAGCAAGCCAGGATCAGTCTCAGCTTACACTGGGTTTGGGAGCTACCTGCTGCAGATCTGCATTTTAAATGCAGTAATAGCCAGGCAGCTCTTACTATACAGTATTTAAAATGCAGAGACATGGAGGTCCTGGATCATGCATGAACCAGGACTGAGCTGGGTTTGCTCAGTCCCAGCTCAAGCTGGGTCTGGGACCTACCCTCACTGCAGCTCTGCATATTTATTCAGTAAATAAACATTAAAAATAAATAACAAATGACAAGTATTCAGTAAATAAAATAAAGCTTTTTCCTGAACTGAAATTAAAAGACTAAACTGTCTGAAAAAATAATAAAACGAGCAAAAAGTTTTTGGAGTAAAGCCAAACTAACTTTAAGAATAGGGGTTTTAAGATGTACACTTGAAATAATTTCCCAAGACAATCACAGAGGAACTACTTCACTCAATTCTATTAAAAGGATATAAAAAATTATTTTCAAACTACTAGAAAAGTGAAACCTTTGAATTTTGCAAATGCAACCTCAATTTATAAGTGCATCTGTTCAAATTTGTGCGTGAAGGAGTACGAATGTGTGTCTGGCACAGAGTATCTGTATATTTATGGATATATCCAAGCTATTGCCTCATTTACCACCACATTTTTAAATCAAAAACAAGATTTAAAGATTAAACTTACCCTGTGACAAACTTCTGTTTTAATTTCTTTAAGAGCACGTTCAGAGAACACACACCCACAATTCCGCAAAAAACAAAACCTAGGAGAAAAAAATATATAATTGGAGTATTTTGATATTGATAGCGTAGAAAATGTAGGGTATCAGTAAACATTTTATACGTGTAGAAAATAAATAAAATCAATTCTGCAAATGTCAACAAATAATTTACCTGTTAGCTTTTTGTGCACCCCCTTGTGTCCAATAAAGAGAAACACAAGTACGATGTAGCTATTTTGCATTTATGATGGCAAGGGTCAATAAAATTACTAATTAAACAAACATCATAAAACATTCTGAAATATACTATGTACTTTGTTATTTAATTTTTTTTTGTTATTTCAGTGAAAAACGGATTATTACAATCTCTTAAAAATTAATGAATTCTTTTCAGTACA